GGGACAGGGGTTACAGCGCTGCACCTACACTAATACAGAGAGGGGAGGGAAGAGACTGTATCCCCGCCTCCGCCCCACTCTATACAGTCCTGTACCCCCACCCCCTGGCGCTGTTCCCAGCCCGCCTTGCGTGCCCATGGCTAAAGCTACACTATCAATGAGTTTTTAGAGTTTCGATTTAATGTGCCTTTCGTACATTAACTTTCAGAAATCTTGAAAAGGACTCCAAATCCCTGCCTGTCTTGTGTCTTGTCCTTTTTACACTGTGATGCTCAGTGTTTGTGTTCCATACAGTATATTCTTTAATTGATTCATACAGTATGTAGCTTCGCATTAGCCGAGACCTGCTAAAACATGCCATATGTTCAGTGCGGAAACATGGTCTGTTTCTTTCACTACCGGTCTGTTCTATCAGTAAGCCAGGCTCTGTTTAATTAAAGTCGTTTTTGCACAATTGCTTTCAGTGCGTCCCCTTTCTTAAAGCTCCTTCCTAGGCATCTACAGTACAGTACATGTGGTTTACACAAGAGTTACAAAACCAGTCTTTCTCAACATCTACCCAAACGAAAAACAGCATCACCAGCTGAGAATTACAGCTCTCCATCAGCCCCACTGCTTCTCAAGGTTAATGTTGTTTTTATAAGTATCGCATTTACCCTGCTTGTATTTCAAAAAGAGAAGAAAAATCAGCTTAGCCCTCTCTGACACGTCGGTGAATTTCGCTGTGGAGTTATTCTGTTTTCCCATTTCCTATTTTAAAAGCCTTGTCAGTACTGAATAAGTTATAGGTACAATCAGCTCCTGGCTTTCTTTGTGAAATGAAACATGCAAATCCATAAGGAATTATTGTGCACACAGTTGGGAAATATTACCATTCTCAGATGCATGGAGTGGTGTTCTGATGTGGGGATGAGATGCAGTACTTTTGACAGCAAATGTCTGAACAATTTATTTTTTAAACAGCCTCTGCAGAATTACCAGTGGGGTGCGTATAAAAAACAAACCAAATAGAAAAGTGTGGATTAGATCTCTGTACACTGATGGATAAAAACGTCTGTTACTTCAAACATTTGATCTTCAAAATACCGTTTTTCAGATTTCTCAGGACGTTAAAAAAATAGACAGCCTCTTGCCAGTCATGAGTTGCACATTCATGTCCTCCTGGATTTTGTTTAAGTGCCCTCTGGCTGCAGTGCAGGGCTTTTAACTCAGCACATGAGTGTGCCCCCTGAAAAATTCATGAATTCCGACGAAGGTTTGCACTGTTTAAAAAACACATGTATACGAGTTCCTTTAGGGCTTCATTCACCCATCAGCTGTTACCCTCTGACACACGTTGTGTCACATGTTGTGTGTCACACGGGCCCTGCAGACACACGGGCCCTGCCGGACTTGGACTGGGGACCCCAGGCTAAGTGGGGACAGAAGAGCATTAGAATCATACAAAGACAGCAAGGGACGATGAACAGTTATATACCTACTGTATATTTTAATTGGTATGCATTTTGTATACTTTATTTCCAGGGAAAGGAAGCTCTTTTCACTAATTCTGTTTGCTTTTTTCAGTATCGATGTCGTTTGCAAAATGTGTTTGAGCAAACTCTACATTTCAGGTGTTTTGTTGACTTTGGACATAGGTTCAGGCACAGGTTTTCCACCAAATAAGTTGAGCTTTTTTTTTTTCTTTTTTTTTTGAGCTGAATCGTGGTCACTGGGTCCAAAAGCATGCTGATCCAGTGAGTATTGTGAATTCACAATTAGTGTCAAGGAAGCAGACAGTGAGACAGCTATTAACTCTTATTACAAACAGGACACCAAAATAATTAATTTAATGTATGTATTTCAGCGATCAAGGCACCCATACTGTAGGTCTTTGATTATCTCTTTTACAGATTTATCTAAGCGTTCTGGTTTTAAACTAAAGTTCATGAACACGCTTTAAGCATTCTAGTACTAATCACTCAAGAAGAAACTGATTAACATTGAAAATGAGTTCAAATGTATTTCCAGTTAATATAAAGTATGAAACATATCAATCCATCATGATAAAGATGTATGTGAAACTGACAGTTTAATGGAAACCATAACTGCCTGTCATAGTACTGTCTCTTTTAAAATACTATCATACTTCTCTAACATTGTATTAGCTTTCCTATTTTGGATTAATAGATTATGTGCTCCAAATCTAAATTAACTTATTTTCACTTTTATAAAAGTCAGAGATCTTTCATAGTTTGACACGGAAAACATGGTCAGTCTATGGGTTGGTCATAAACATCTTCCATTTAGCCAGGAGCCAGGTACATCTCTGACAAGATGAGACCACTCTTCAGATCAATTATCCTTATTTCATTCCTTGGTTTGCTGGGAGCCTTGATTCACTGTAAAGAAAAATCCTCTCTGTTTATTTGTATCTTCCTCTCATTCATGCCTCTGTCATCGATAGAAATCTCAGCAAGACAGCTTTTTCTGTCCATGTAAGTCTCCCAAATAAATCATTACACTCTGAATAGCTGGCTGCCCCAGCTCAGTGCTCGTGGCTGTAATTGATAAGCCTCACACACAGATGTAAACACACACGGACATGCTTTGGAAATGTTGTCAGATGTGCACCTTTGGCACATTTTTATTGCACAGAGGAGCTGAATTTCTCTTTTGCTAGCATTCTGGACAAATTAGGCCATCTCTGGTAGCAGTGCATTGGACGTGGTGTAATCTTTCATGGACAAAGATAATTAAAGAGCTTCCATTTTGATAATGAAGTATTAGGTGTGCTTAGCCCATTGTCCACCACAGCAAATAATGTCACTGAAGATATTTCTGTCTTAATATCAAACATATCAAAAGCATTGATAAAAGTTGCTAGAGTCTTTATCTCAGTTTTCTTCTTACAAGGTTTTACAGCTAATTTTGACTTAATGTTTTATTTGTTATAGTATAGTACTTATGGTGATTAGGTCTTGGCAAGGATACAAGGAGGTAAGAAGGTGGATTTATCAGATGTTTGACAGCTACATGTTTTTTATTTTCTCCCGTCTTATTAGAAAATAAATAACAATGTCATGTTGCAATGTTGGAGTCAGAGTTAACAGTTTCAGTTTATTTCACAAGCACTGTCTCAAACTGTTTGAAGGCATATTTTAATGCATATTGAATTGTATTTTCAGAACATTTTTAAGGCAAAAGACAGTGACTTCCAAAGAATACAGTACTGTATGAATTGCAAAGCAAAACTACAAGTTTTAACTTTGTTGTCCCAATACTTTCATATTTAACATTTTCCATATTATATTTCACATTCAAAACGTGTTAAATGTCTGGCTGTATAAGCAAAGTAGAATTGTGTTTATAAAAATGCTGAAGCAGATTGTACTTGTCAGTTGGTGTACAGTAAGTAAACGTCCAGGTTTCTGACTCGCAGTGAGTCATACATTCCCAGAATTCATTTTTCCCCGCTGAAGAGTTAATTTAAAAGAGCGGACTGTGACAAAGAATGGGCCTTTAGTTCACTAGCAGTTGGCTCACCACCTTTGATGCAGTGCTTAATATGTGAAGTGTATGTGACAGCTGTTTCTACTCCCTAGAGTGAGTGACAGAATCACTTACCACTGGATTCCAAGTTCAATTAAATCCAACCACACAAAGAAACACCACAGACCTCCTTTGTGCAATACAGGACTGAACAAACAGATATATTCACGCATTATTATAAATTAGCACAGTAAAATAACATGCATTTGCATTCAGCTTCAGTGAAACAGGAGGTCTGCTTTTTTTAATTCAGCTGTCTTTGTTCATTTCTGCCTCTGTCACCGAGTTTGATTTTTTGACAAGGATATGATGCACTTGCAAGATGATAGTATCTAAATACTATTTGTTATTTACGTCAACTTTTCTTTGATCTGAGAGTCATGCAGTATAAAAAAAAACCTGTGCTTAAAGGGAGATTAAAAGGTACAAGATTTGAGAATTGTGAAGCATGCAATTTTTGATTTTCCCATAATTTGGGATTGTGAAGTGACAGCATAATTACGTCACTAAATATCTGTGAATTAAAATGCAGTCAATTAAATCAGTGTTATTTTCTTTGCTCATTATTGTAAGATATTGGTACTCATTTTTTATAACATATCAGTACCATATGAATGGTATTTATCATGTCAAGTTAGTACTGCAACTTTCCAGCTCCAGGGTCCTGGGTTCGATTCTAGTCTCAAACCTGTGTCTGTGTTCAGTTTAATTTTCTCCATGTTTCCTGAAATGTTTCCATTTTTATTGGGTTTCCTCCCCCAGCAAAGACAGGCTCCTCCCTACAGTATTTTTGATAAGGGTGGATGTATCTGTAATAGAAAAAATGTCAAGTAACCTCAAAACCACACAAAGTAAGCCTGTGCCAGTGTGCACTGCCTGGTCTGAATCAGTGCTTTTTGGTTAACCTCATTTTTTACCCCTGTAAAAAATAGACAGGCATTGCACGGTTATCCTTAGAAAGACGTGTTTGGAAGAAAGGAAAAAAGACATCCTTCTTCACTTGATAAGTCAGTGTGTAATGATGTTCAATTTACAAAATCTTACCCTCCAAAGCGTCATGGGTTACTTCTTTATTTTTCCACTAGAGAAACAATATTTTACTGATGAAAACTATAGAAGAAAATATTTTGTTTATTTAGTAAAAATGTCCTTCCCTCCCGTAATCTACCCTTTCAGAAGTAGTACTGATTTAGAATGAGATTCCAAAAGTAAAAAATATCAAATGTGATTTTTTTTGTCACTGCTCAACTGTAACATTTCGTATTTCCAATTTCACGTTGAAAATAATTGTTGTCTGGAAATGCTACAAAGATCAGTCACGTTTTTCATATGTTTTTAGGCAAGAGACCAATTTGTTTTTTGCAGCAAGGAAATTTTACAGCTGCCAAATGTGCGTTAAAGCAGGAGAAGCTATCTGTGGAATAAAACGCCCTTACTCCATGTGAAACGAGCTTCACTTTTTGTTTCAGGGTGCTGTGATAACGCCAGCAATGGACCACAGCATGTCAGTGCAGCCTGCCAGTATGATGGGGCCTCTTACCCAGCAGATGAACCATTTATCTTTGGGTACAACAGGAACTGTAAGTGACTGAGTATATACTGTCATTGGCTTTAAATAGAATTCTATATTGCATTACTGAGCAACTACAGTTTACATTAGCGGGGTACTCTAGGACATGCTACAGTGTCACTCAGAAATCTGCATTATTTTTGGCTTGCAGCGTGATAGATTTAAGTAAGCTGTCATCTGTGGAAGAAATTGTGCAAAGCCATCTCATTCCTCCAGAAAGTAAAGTGCTAAAGCAATATGGTGGATGAAATCTAATTTCTTGTTTTTCCCAAGATATTGTTTGTATGCTTTAGTTAGTTTAGTTTTTTTTTTTTAATGCATATGCTTGCTGATCTAAAACTTCGAAGACAATGTGCTGTGGATATTGGAGGCACAGGTGTGTGTGTCCTCTAAAACATGTTTTTTTTCCTCGAAGCTGAACTATCCGGGCTGCACCTGCAGAGAGGATATTTCGGATGTCTTTCTAGGCGTAGAGGGATTATGGCAGCCCCCCCTGCACAGCCTTACATCAAACGCTCATGAAAAGCAAACCAAAACCCTAAAATAATTTTGGCTGTACTTTTGCGGCAAGCATTAGCCAAGAACTAAAAGCACCAAATGTTCCCACCCTTCCAGACTATACTGACCTAAGAATTCTGCAAAAATGTTGTCGTTTATTTTTCCAATAGAATTGTGGAAGAAACCACAAAACCTCTTAAAGAAACAATAATCAGATTCCATCTCTAAAAACACCAACAACCCAAAACGTTCTCTAAATAAAAAGAAACATTTATGTGAACATTTGGCAGCTCAGATAAGTAGCTCTTGAAGCTACATCGACATTAAGTTTGTGCCTTGGGATTTGAAATATAAAAATACACTTATAGTCAGTGTTTTCAGGCATGAAATCTTTCCATGAATATAGGGAGGTTCAGGGTATTAACAAACTTCATTTGACTCCATGTGAAAAATCTTGCCATGTAAAATATTTCACACTAATACAGCAGCGTTTAAAATTCAATGTTTTTAAAAGTCTGTTGTACATTTGCATATCGTTTTCTTCTTGGTTTTCTTATCTCCTTAAATTACACCTTGAATCCCTACATGTCGCTTAAGTGTCGTTCACAGAAGTAGATTTCAAAGCAGAAACAATTATTCAAGTTATTCATCACATGTATTTGTTAGGTTCTAATTTTCTATAATAATAATCTGTGCCGGTTATACTGTGAACAAGCCCCCATCCTCAAGTTTAAAATTCCCTTGAACTCCTTGTCCTGGAAGGGGACAGTTTAGAGTAGACAACCGAACAAACCTCACCTGCATGTTCTGTATAGGGGGCAGAACGGTGGCACTGTGGCTAAGGATCTGTACCTGTGGCTGGAAGGTTGCCGGTTGACTCTTCCACAGCAGCATCAGTGTGTGCTAGATCTGGGCTCCTCATTCATAGCCTTCACCGCCCCCCATGCCTGTACCCCTGTCACAGCCCCAGCAGCAACTGTGAGGGGTTTCCCCTCTCCCCCACCCGGTGGCGTCCAAGCAGTGCAGTGTTGGCCCTCCACTCCCCAGTTTCCACCTGTAGCCTTGGAGATGCTCTCAAGCCTAGTGGATTTCTGCTCACCTCAAGCATCATCACCACTATTTTCTGGGGGGGAGATTCTCGACGGAATCTGCTCTCATACATTCATCTGTAGCAAATGGACCAATCAGGCCAGGGTTCTTACATTCAAGCTTGATTCCATCATTATCCCCTATGGATCCATTTACTCATTTACACTTATTGTTCCCTTCGCTTGTCTCAGTTAGCTGTTGCATCCATTCACTAACATGCATCAGCAAGTGGTCACTCACTACAGTTTCCAACACCACTTCCGTGTCGGGCTGTCCAAAGTTGGCCACAGCACCACCACTTCAGGTTACTCCTTTTGGGTCAGCACAGCACCTTCCTCAGCCAGTCGTGGAACAACCTTACAGCCAGACTTGTGTTTCCTCAGCCAGGCGAATTCCTCATTTCAATATGCTATCTCATCGGCATCAAGTCTGACCAAACTAATAATAATAGGCCAAACATGTTGAGCTTATGCCATTCTGCCTAAAATATAAATGTATAGTCACTAGCAAGTTATTGTCACAATATATATTACTGTATATAATAAAAGTAATTTTACTTATAAAGCTGTCCATTTTAAAGGTTTATTATGTTGTAGTCAAACAAATAAATTATGGGTTGTTTATTAAAGAAATTAAACTGAATTGTTTTTCATTCATAGTTTTTTTAATGTCTCACACACACTCAGAATGATTATTTCACCAGAATTTTATGAGCATTTCATGAGAACTTTATAACCGTCATGATAAAAACTGCAACACTTTCAAAATGATCTAGATTCCTATGATACGTCCTATAACTAATTTTGAAATCCCCATGTTTTGCTGAAAACATGACTGATGTCTCTCTTCCAAAAATGGCACAAAGTTTTTTTTTAACTACAAGTTACAGTCAAGATTATTACCTCCTTCAAAAACTGATTGGGCCTAACTCAATGTTATAGCTCTGAAAGACAGAGCAGGGTAACGTTTAGCTGCAGGCAGGACTTGACCTCATGAACTAGTCTATTAGTGGTGAGAGTGACAGCAGAAATCTTTTATTCCTCTCCTGAAACAGAATTATCATCAACATCTCTACAAACCTCTCAGCATTCTGAAAAGGTCTTCCTAAGGAAAAGCCTGGAGCATTCCAGTGGCTACATAAATCCTTTATTTTAAGCCTCAGGGATAGCCATTAAATGGTTCATAACCTTGATATTACAGAATCGTATATGGATTTCATATAATGTTCAGAAGGAGATTCATGTTCCTGCTGCTCTTGATGTTTGCTCTGGGCTTGTAGCTTTGTCTGTTTCTGTGGAGTCTGGCAGTATTCACTACGCTTGCTCAGTGCCATTTAGGGTGTTAGGTCTCTCCAGTTTCCATCCATCCTGTAATTAAAGCTGTCTACCACGAAAGAAAATCCAGCACAGAAGGATAAAATTGCACTAAATTAGCAATGTTTCACATAATCACATAAGACGAAAACCTGTGATAATCATATATGGCACTTTGGCACCATTTTATTGAAGTACAGCATTGCCACCAACCTCCCCGGTCCAGAAGCTGTCACTCTGTTTGGGTGTTCTGCTGGCTCAGGAGTGATTACTTAATGATCACATCTGTTCTGAAATCGCTCAGAATAGCATCTTTGCCACCTCTAGTACAGTGCGTCAGAGCTGCGACTCTGTGTGCCTCAGAAATCGGTAATTTTATGTATGCGTCTGTGACATCTAAATTGATTGCTGCATCTCATTACATTTGGGCAGATAAAACGTCCGTTCCTTTAATCTTTTGTCAGCAGGATGTCCTTATTGTACTGTTTTGCCTTAAAGAAATACTGTAGTATAGTGCCGCATTTTTTTATTTCTGCTTGTTTATGACCTATTAGGTGTCACATGTCCTGTGTACTAACTATTGTATAACTAACTATTCCTATTAAGCTGGCATCTCAAAGGAAATTGTCAGGACCAGGTATGGTGGGATTTAGTGAGAAAAGTCCACTGGCTGACAGTTCTTACGGCCACCTGCCTTCCAGCCTTACCAAACAGCCTTGATTGCTCTGTTTCAAAGCTCTTTTAAACCAAACCATGTGGATCATCACATGGCTTAATGTGCACATCACACAGGAAATGAAATGACAGAAAGGCAAAGGTTACGTTAATTTGTAATTTAACAATAAAATGTGCAGAACAACAGACCCCCTAAAGTATACAACTGTCCACATTTTCCATGTGAGCAGAACATGAGCAGAACATTTTTTTTATGGAAGGATTGCTATCCCAGGAGGGAAGAAAGGGACAGCAGCAGTGTTTTACTCATTAAATATGTTCAACATTGCAAAAACTACTCAGCGCAATATTGTACTGTATGTGGTTGCGGACATACAAACACTCGAAAACGTTTGTAAATTTTTGGAGTGGGTTGGTAACTATCCTAGGAAGGGCACTTTTTATTAAAAATGTTATTAAAATGTCATGCTGGGCTGCCTCTTCCATTAAGCGCCAAGTATTTGAATAGCATGCAATATACTGTACAGCTGTGGAAAAATAAATAACTCTGTGAAGCTGGAGTTACTGAGAGAGGCGCAGTGTCCCAAAGTCTCATATGAATGTCTGCCTCACAACAGAAAATATTCTGGAGACTATGAACCCCCAGAGAGATCTTATCCAGTATACTGAATGCTTCATATGGGCTCCTTTCTCTTTAGTATTTGCTACAATGGTGAACAAAAAAATAATTAATTGCCAATAAACCATAAAGCTACAGTATTTCGCCTCATCCTGTGATTCAAACAGGACAAAACCAAATTATAATATGGCAGATCATATTGTGACAGAATGTGGGGTTAAAGGTTAAAGAGGGAAAATGTTTTAGACCACATTTTGAGCATTCCTCTGCTCTGTCCCATTGAGGAAACTACATGCATAGGTAGCCACAAGGATCCTGTGTGATGAGGCTCAGCTGTGGGTGATTAGCTTGCCTTTCAAAGTATAAAAGGGCGTGGCACTCACAGTCCTTTTGCTAGGAGGATCTCTATCAGTGAAGTGGTAGTTTGTGTTGCTAAGGAAAGCTAGAGAGTAAAGAGGTCTGAGTGTTGAAAGCAAGTGAGGATCTCTGAAGGTGCAGACAGGTTTGATTGTTTGTCTTAGTAGAAGCTGGAAGCTTATCCCATGCTGGAAGACTGAAATAGTAACTAATTAGTCAGAACCATTTGTGAGGTTAAGTTTTCCCCATGCTAGGCTGGGCAATATACAGCAGAACATGCAAAATGCAGCCTAAAAGTGGCTGTAGAAATAGCCTTTTTGAATTTTGTCTTTTAACCTTTTTGAAGTCAGCTCTCCCAATTATTCAGAATTTGTACAAAATGTCTCCTCATTTACAGTAGATGCAGTTTTACCAAAGCACTGCCAGTCTTTCTTCTAAATCACATGCTACTGCAAGGTAGACTCAAAGCAGAGTAACCACAATAATGCATGTAATATTACCTGTATGTAAATTTTAAATACAAATGTAATAAAAACAAGAAGTGAGTGGGTCTAATTATTCAAATACTAATTAGTCTATAAACAATTAGGCATTAAAACATCAGATTTTAAAATAAATGTTATTTACTCCCTTAATTCAGACTTTCCCCTTGTCAGATCCCGGCCATCTGGTTCTGTTTAGCAACAAGATTTATACAGCAGTCTTTACCTGATCCATATTATAACCAAGCAATGACTCAAGGGAAGCCAGTGGTTCAAACCTAAAGTGCAAAATCATCCAATTAAAAATGTGCCTAAGTTAAAAGAAATATTGTTAATAATGAAATGTACAATGAGTGAAAACAAGAAGGCTCAGACACGTAGTGCACAGTAAAATCTTTTTAATTCCTTGTCATTTTTTGTCCAAAATTTTGAAAGTAGGGGAACTAGTGGCTTCTGGCTAAGATGGGAGAGTGGTTTAGATGCACTCACCCCTCAGCACCAACAATTCTTTTAAAGAATTCAATTTAAATTAAGTGAAGGGCAGTAATGGCAGATAGGCGAGCTGCCCCCACCCACCTAAACCACCTACATCCCCTTCCTGAATAGTCAGAAATGAAACCCAGGCTCCCTGTTCCAAAACAGAGAAAGAAATGATCTCCTTGCCTCTCAGGTTTCTACTGTTGGACAGTCTTAACTGCAAAGACTCGTCGCTCGCTGAGCACATTTCATTTTATTGCTTCAAGGACTCTCTGAACACTGAGTACTTGTTCAGTGTTGTGTCACAACATTAACCAGGACAGTGTCAGAAATGGATGAATTGAAGAATTGATAGAAGCTGATGACTGAAATTGTGTTATTGTTGACCTACAGGGTGGCAAGTAGAAAGGGGACATGACCCTATTAACTTCTTTTGTAGCAGTTTTTAATAAAATTGCTACATTTGTTTGCAATCAGCATGCTTACTGAAGTCATTAAGTTGAACAGTTGCATCAAACTGATCAGGTGCAGGTTAATGCAGTTTTCCAAAGGTTCTGTCCACACCTCTGTTTCTCTGAAGCTGGTACAGAAAAGGCCAAGAGCAAGGATTCCTTAAACTTGGACTTGAACTTTTAGCTGCTTCTGTAACTTTGCAGCTGTTGTATCTGGGCAGAAACTCACATCTTCAGGCTGAGATAGCACCCCAGCCGAAGGTTTTGCATTACAAATGAGCTTTTTTTCATGGAGATCAGCTTGGATTTCTCTTCTTAAAAAGCAAAGACCTCCTCATTAGTACATAAAACTTTGCAAAGGTTCTTTCTTAACAGTCAGACTTTTTCTTGAAAGGGATGACAATTTGTATATAATAACGTACAACATTTTTCCCATATACTGGATCAAGCCCCTTATTAACTGTCTTTTCTAACACAGTGCTTCTGTTAGAGAAACAAAAAGTGCTCAATCAGTTGGAATTAAACTATCTTCTGTATAGTGAATAGAAAATAACGAATAACCTACAAAAGGGAGATATGTTAGACATTGTAATGTATCCACTTCATGTATTTATGTTTAATTAAAGGCAAAGATATACAGTAGCTTGTGTTTTTGGAGAATTTTCAGAGCAAAAGAACTCTTTGGCCTTGCACCGTCACCTATATCATTTCAGTAGCACGCCTTCCCTTTCACGATGTTCTGTTCTGGGGTTAATCAGCTAGCTCTTCAGCTCTTCTCATTAGCGAAATGCAAGAGGACCATGCCCAATCCATTAGAGTCACTCCCCGTAATGACAGTTTATGTGAACTGGGCAGCCAGCCAGAGGAGGCGGGAACAGTTTACATTACGGGATCCTCTGCTGGAAAGAGCACATCCTCCCCTCCCGCGGTGGAAAAATACAATGCGCTCGGAGTTATCTGTAACCTCACCCCTCCCTCTTGTGTGTGTAATCTCGCTGTACCATTTCCATTCGGCTCCTTTCAAGTGCAGGGCTAAAGCCACTCCACATTTCACAGGAGAGTGCCCATGGTAGAGCTGCCCTCGCTGTGCTTCACTGTTTCCTTCAGCCGGTGGGTTTAATCCCCTAATAAATATGTGAATGTCCTCCAGACACCCAGACACCCAGGCCTGTTGGGATCCCCTGTTTGATCATAGATTTTCGTTTGTGTTTTTTTTTTTGTGTCCTTTATAGAGAAATGATCTTCCCATAAAATGAGAATGCTAATGAATATTCTTAATCTTGGCTCTTACTCTCAATGACAATCTCCAAGGACTCCGGGGGAAAGCTTTTATCAAATGAATCACTTGAAAGCACTTGCTGGGAACATCAAGAACCTCAGTGAAGTATCCTTGCTCGACTCCTCGAAGTCTTACCTTTTAGGCAACGAGGATTTAAATCTACGTTGTTATTTTTTTTGGGGGGAGGGGGGGGGTTGATGCAATGTAAAATAGTGCTGCACTGGGCCTAACTATCTCAACTGCAATACAATTGCTTTGAATTTTGCGCGGGAGGGCAGATGGGTTTCATAAAGGTGCTCTCCAGAAACGCCGTGTCTCACACGCCGGGCGCCGGCCATGCTTGTGTGTTCCAGTACATGACTGCGGCCGCAGCTGCTGCGCCTATGCAAGGGACGTACATTCCCCAGTACACTGCTGTGCCTCCAGCTGCTGTCCCCGTGGAAGTAAGTGGCCCTGGCCAGACCGGACACACGGCCTTCCCTCGGCAGCCGCGCTCGACCTCGTCCTGACGCTGCGGAAGCTCCTCCGTAATCTGCCGCCTTCGGCACCACACCACACATACCGATGCTACCCAGTTCGGCGTATTTCAGAAACCTTTGCGAAACACACAGCACCAGATTCAATGTAAAAACTGAGCTGATTAAATCCAGCCCATGATAAGCGCAGGTCTGGGGCTAGGACGTGCTGTGTTCAAATCTGAGCTCTTTAATTTCTCCAGGCAAAATTGTATCACGGCTTAAAACTGTTTTATTAACACATACCACTGCCAGCACCGTATGCTTTACAACCTATAACCAAAATTACAGGGCTTTTCAAACACAGAGAGGTATTAAAGAGTGTGTAGCGCACAAAACAGTTTGCTTTGCTCCTGGTTTATGTTAGGCTGCGGTACTGGGTCTCTTTAGTTGCGCAGGTCGAGAGGGCAATTAGGCTGGGGGAAAACGGTAACCAGAGAGAAAACGCACGTCCAACCGGCCCCGAGATGGCAAATGAGTTTTAAAAGATGCGACACAGGGAAAAAAAAAAAAGAACTCCTCTAAAAACAGCCTTTATCCCCCCTTCCCTGTCCTCTTCCTGAACTTCCGAAGGGAGTGGTGACCGATGCCTCGCCACAGACGGTTGCACCCTCATCACAGGAAGCCAGCGGACAGCAGCAACAGATACAGGTGGAAACCAGCAGCGAGCACGCTCCTCCTTATTCGTACCAACAGTCGAAGTGAGTACGCGAGAGAACTCGGCCGGCTGAACGCTGGAAGGGACAGAGCTAACAGAGCAGGGGTTTCCTGTCAAACTGGGCGCCGTCGTAAATCGTTTTGAGGTCAAGGGAAGCGTTTCGAGGGCCGACCCTGAATAAGAACTCCCGCTTTAAAAAAAAAACGCATCCTGAAGTATGTGATCATTAAAATAAGGCACTATCTTTAATCTATATGAATTTATAAAAAAATCTAGAAATACTTAAATCTATATAAATATCTCTATAAATTTACTGATATCAATTTCCAGACTTATTACCTGGGACCCACCAGAAAGAAAGTGGCAATTTTCTAAACAAATTTTTAAAGGACAGAGTCCAACCTCAACCCATGTATCCTCACTAATTATACTGTAAAATAGAAAGCGCTGCTTGTTTTTTATTCTCATGTACAGTATTTGTGAAGGCTACAAATGCGTTAAGTGCACACCTTGATGTGTTTACTTACAAAAACAGGCTTTACCTTTTGGTATTAGCTTGGTGCAGTCGTAAGATAAAATTGTATAAATTAGTTTCTTATTTGGTCGTTCTTCATAGACATATTGATTCATTTACGCAAGGTGAGAGGTGAAGAGATTTTTTTTTTATCATGGTACTAATAAAACCCAGCTTTCAAAGATCTCATCAAGGATCACTTCAAAAGTAAAGTCCATGTAGCACAGTAAATGCAATGTACAGTACCACACAGCACAAAATTATTTTGTAAATTGCGTGGCTTACTGGTAAAAAGTGAAAATTGAAAATTCCCTCACCAGCTCAGAGACTCTTAAAAGCCTGGACATGCTTTGTTTGCATGAAACGCAGTAGAACAACACAGTGTACTCGGGCAATGTCACTTATTTTCTCTGCTTGTGTTTCATTTTCCCCAGATAATGACAGGACTGAAGAATGTTCCTCTGACAGCATTGCCTTGACACAGGGAAACTGCACTGAGGAGGAAGCTTACTTCCAGATTGCACAGGCACCAAAAGAAATACTTTTTCATTTCCTACCTTGCCCAGTGGAAAAAAGTGTTGCAACATGCTGTGCAGAGTGAGGTTCAGTCACGTAGCCTGACAGTTTTGTTTCATGTCAGCCAGCGAGAGGCTTGAATTTTTTTCTTCATGAAATTTCTTGAATTAAAAAAAAAAAAAGAAAAAAATATTTGAATGTGCAGGTAGGTTTCAGCAATGGTGAGAGTTTTGAAATTAAGAGAGGAAGCAAGTTTGAAAAAAAAAGTTTGTCTTCCTCAGATATTAAGCTACTCTTTCTTTTCCTTCTTTTTATTTCTTGTGTTACATTTTAGGTTTTTAGAAAACTTTAGCAAGGATGTTTCTTGAATCTTTATTGCCTTAATTTTAAGGACGTCAAAGACTTTTCCAAAGTGATCAGTCAAACGTCTTATTACAAAACATAAAAATGAATGAATGATTCAGTCACTTGGACCAATTGAATGGTGCAAGATATTAACAGAAGAGTTGAGTTGGTAAAAGAAAAACTATTAAATAAGCTGTACAGATTTAATAGAGATTTTTTTCTTCTTTTGAAGAAAACTTTCTTAATTATGAAACAGTGGCAACTGGCAATGTTTAAAGTAGTAAAGGCTGAGACATAATTTCTGTCTTAGTGAAGAACAGGAAAAAAAATTAAACTTGGGGCTATAAGAGATTTTCAGTATGAGAAAACAGTGGAATCACTGCATTACAGGAAATGCAGTTTGTTGCAAAATGCAGATTTTTTTTTAATTTTACATGGCGAAACCGCTATTGATGGCATTAGTGCTTTTTATCTGCAACCTTTTTTATGAGCTTTAAGAAGTTTTTAGTCTGCTTGCTTGTCATATTGCAAAAAAAACAAAAAAATAATAGCAGTGCAAAACTACATAGATAGGAGCTTATGGTTAAACCTATTAGTGCAAAAGCAATAGATAGAAGAAATTGTTGACAATTTCTGTAGTCTTTCATAGTTGTCGATCAAATGCAGCCTATGGATGGCCTATTTTATACCAAAGATGAAGTGACACCCTAAAGCAGCTGAGGAGATAGAGATTTTTTCAGTTTTATTTTGTTGTTGTTGACGTTGTTGTTTTTTTTTTTAAGTCTTTATTTGACCTAGATGGCCGGACCAGTTCTTAATTTTGTTTCTTGGTTTAAACTATCTTCCACTGGTGTCGTGTAACATTCACTCTTGGAAAGACAAAAAAAAAGGATTGGGATCTGTTTAAACGGATTTAAGCAGTGACGCATCGAAGTATTGTCAATCTTAAAACATGTTAACCTGTTGTAATGAAAAAAAAAACATCTTTCCATTGCTTTTGTATTGTGCTTAATACTGTTGATGATGAAAAGAGGGAATTTTTTCCCGTAGAAAAGAAAACACCAGCCAGACTTAAGAAATTTGAACGAGGGTTAATTAAATCTAAACAAATTCAAACTAACTGATGTACTAAATCATCCCCTAATTTTGTTTTGTGATAACCATGAGGGGGGCTGTCTCTTCCTCACTCCAATACAACTCAATAAGAGTAACTGTCCATCTCCCACCGATGTGTATTTAAATAGTGCGTCCAGCTACCTCAGTCTTTGCTGATTTTATGCCATGAAAATTACGTTTTTCGGTGCAGAAATTCGTGTAAGTAGTAAGTCAGAGGTACCACCTACCAAAACAAACAAACAAACCATTAGGACCTGCAGCATAAATACTGTAGTTATTGAGCTCCGAGCCTCTTTTGCTGCATTTGCTAAAGTACCATCAAGGAAAAGTATTGGATGTAGAAAGATTACTATGAAAGAGTCAGCTTCTTTGGACTCATAATTTTAAGAAGTACAGTTGGCTTGAAGGAAAATCGGGAGGAAAAAAAAGCTAGCACTGTTTTCCAAACTAGCTCTTTAAATTAGCTGCCAAGTGTTTCCCTTGGTGAAAGTTATATAACTTACTCAGTCTTTGACTGTTCATAATTAGTTTCTCGTAAACAGCTTCCTCCCCATTGTCATTTAAATTTGCATATGGCTTTATACAAGACGAAAAAGATCTGTAGGCACACAGTACTCATTAGACAAATTGTCTGTGAGCGTTTGCCATGCCTACTTTAATGCTGCAGTCGGTAAACGTTAAAGCAACTCACTCCGTTGAGTAGCATTCATTTGACAGGTTTATTTCACAGCCTTTCAAGAATTTCACCACTGCAGAAATTGGTTCAGTTTCGTCTCCAGTGACAAGTTGACTTGGTTCTGTGATCCTCACGTCGTGTCCCAGGTGACACGAGTCCCTATTACAAAACAATCTAAGAATTTTTCCTTTTTTGGCTTATAAAAAGGCCCAAGATTAAGATATATGGCTTTTGAACAATCCATTCAATGTAAGTGATCTTTGGAAGGCACATTCCTATGGTATGTGTGGAGCATTATGGATAAATATTACTAGAAAAATTGGCAATAACGGTCAGACCACATACCAGTCAATTTCTTTGTCCTCATCACATATAGAATGTTGTTTCTTGAGTGCCTTGTTGTATAGATTCCAGGTAGTCTTAAATACAGTAACATTCTGTACAGTATAAAAGATTTAAACATGATAAATGTTAAACTTAGAATATATTTCTTCTCCAAAGTAATTATGGCAACAATAAATTACACTATGATGCTCCAGTGAAGCAGATTGTAGAATAATGCTATGTAGAATCTAGATTTGTAGTTGTCTGCAGCATTGCTAGTGGTTTGTGATTCATCTTGCCCAATAGTTGTATCATGAATGTAGTTTTCTGTACACACCCAAGCATCTGCTAAGAGAATTCTTAATAATGTCCCGGAGGCAGACCCTTCTTTTAAACACATAAAAATGTAGTACCACTGTAAAGGACAAGAAATTTAAATGAACACTCTCTTATTTTCACAAAATGTTTTATTGACAATTGTGCCAGGTAGTGATGGCAACAGATGGACAGGTGAACTGGATTTTTCAAATTCTATTATTGTATGATAACAGATGCAGATGTGCTACGCTGAAAAAAATCTTAAAGGGTGTGATGTCTTAATGTTTTTAAAAGCTATGTTGTGCATTTGGCCATTTTCCCCTTTGGTCTCTCCTTGAGATGATGGAATTATGGAAACAATACAAGTTGTCAGATGGATTGTTCAAACCCCAGCAAATGTGCTTAAGGTTGAATATATAGATATGATATTTTCCTTTTTAAAGTGAACCTGCACTGCATTTTATAGACAGAAGTAAATATAGAAATTTACTTGCCTGCCCCGTCGCTAAATTTTAAAATTCTTCATTAAATCCCAAAACACTAGGTCAGTCAAGAACTTATTTAACAATGTTGTTTCACGATAAGATTTACATTAATACTGAAAATCTGATGATATACAACTAACTGGGTTTTCCTTTTGATTCAAGTCAACCTGAAAATATTGTTTCATTTTTTGTATTGTTTTCCATTATGACTTTTGTTTGTTTAATGCAACTTTAAGAAAAAATTAAGTGCTCTGTAAAACATCTTATGGATATTTCTGGATGAATGTGTTCTCATGCGTCTCTTTAAAATCTACACACAATTAAAAATATTAAATTAAACTTTCCCCACACTGAAAAAATGTTACAAAATCCTACTGAACACAGTTAGCTACAAACATTAATAGTCTTAAATGTGTGCGGATATAGAATCCTACAGTATATATATTCTGGTAGTTCTCAATACGAGTATATCGTATCTTCTGCAGAAATCATTACCAAGGAAATAACTTGGTATTGAAAGACAGAATATTTCCTAGGACTTGGCAAAGAATCGTAAATGAGAACTACTATAAACAGACACAGAGAAGACAATGAAAGCACCACTGAAATGTCCATAAGATTACAGTGTGTGTGTCGCTATGCAGAACACTTACAGTCTGTAGTCAGGGCAGTAGGACCCCCTTATGTGATGTTCATGGGAATTAGTGTAGATACATGTAAGAACATTGGGCACCTCAATATTTCCCATCAGGCAGCAATCTACAGTATGTGGCTGTCAGTCAGATCTTGTGTTTTAATACATCAAAGAGGCGTTCGGGCAACAGTCTTATTAAATCAAAATTTCGTCTGGATTGGCAGACTGGAGTTGATGCCAAGCTTCTTGACTTTGTAATCACATCACGAGGTTATGGTTGGATGGGCCCACTTAGGGAAGCACAGTTATTTTCAAATAAATTCCTGTGTGCAGTGAAGAGTGGGGTTCTTCTGTTACTGTATACTGTACATACAGGCTACTAAAAACTATTTCCCAGTAACTGCTGTATGGGAAAAAAGCAACCCTTCTTAAAATGTAATGGTTATCACAAGGTCTCTTGGTATATTCCAATGCAGTGTTTTCAACAGGACAGGACTGTCTCCTGGAATTTGTCAAGATCTCTTCTTGAAATGGTTTTGCTCTGTCCTAAGGAAAAATGAGAAGAGGTAACAGTACAGTTGTGGTCAGACATCCATTTTTACAGATAGGTGCAAATAAAGATGTAGTATCGTCTCGTTTTGTTAGTCTCTGAACTATATTTTTTTGTTATCTGCCTTTAGGTAAATAACACAAACATGTAACAGCTGCTACAGAGTATTCAGTATTTGAAAACCAGAGGTTTGGGAAAGGTTCATAACTTGCTTTTAAAGCTTAACACTTCTGAGTACACAATTAATCCCAATTAATTTCCAAATGATTATGCAGAATGTTTCCAAAATCAAGTTACACAAAATCACTAGTTGTGTAATATAACTCAGTGAATATTATTTACTAAGGAGGGAACGGAAGGCTGTTTAACAGCACTCTCTCCACATCCAGGACTTGTATAGTCCCTGTGGTTTTTCCTCATTATTATGGTTCTAAACTGAACAGTAGCTACAGCTTGCCTTCACCTTTAGGATCTGTCATTGTCTTTTCAAGTTGTTTTAGTGGCTCTGACTGGTAATCTTAAAATGAAATGAAAGGCTGCCAAGTTGATTTTCAATCCCACTGCACAGAATATTTTCTATGCAGAATTTACACTCCTCTTCTAATTTGCACAATTAGAATTCAAGGAGATGGATTCAGTGGATTCTGTTGTCTTAATATGAATTCATTCATGCAAGAGCAGACAGCAGCACTTATATATTAAAAATAAAATTATAAAAAGTATGTTTGATTTTACCACCTGAGACTAAGACCAATATCATTATTTTATTAAAAATATATTATCAAAACTGTAATGGCCATATGACCATCCAATTCCGTCTTCCTAAATCCCACTGGAGGTTAGTACATTGAACTATACAAAATTCAGCTGTATGGACACTGAAGCTAAGATCTCAAAAGATATAAGGTTTGCTTACCTCTTCTCCCATTCTGACATGTATGTAGTCATGATGTCACTCCAGCTTAAATTCTGAATTATCCGTGAGCAGAATAAGTGATTTTAACTTACATTTCTGCAGCCCTGTCCAAAGGATAAGAGAGCTTTAAACAGAGCTAATCTGGCTATAGGATTTGATGCTGTTGTATGTTCAGACTGTAAAGCAGGGTCAGTCCAACACTGCCCAAGTCTGTGGTTTGCTCTAAATTATAAAATGAACTCAAATTAAATCAGCTCTCAACTCCCAAGACAGCAGCTCAACACTTTTCTAAGGAACCTTTAGAAATTACCCTTATTTCAATGTAAATGACTCACCCACAGTGCTTCCAAACCCATCAGTTTCCATAATCTACATACCAAATTCACGATGGAATAAAAATATTTTACAATCATGCATTTCCAACACATTCTATAATAAAGCACATTAAGCAAACTCATAAATTAGTCGTGAAAGTGTGTTGTAATACAGTACCTTAATATCAAAGCATCAGTTAAAATCAAAGCCATGAACTGATTAGACTATCACATGCACACAGAACGTGCAGTAGTTATTGAGTTTTGTTATGACAAATATTTGTCAGCCATATCGTCTTCTTGTCTAGTGCTATTCAGTTATGGCAGAATTCACAGTATTATTGTATAAGAGTTACATTTTTAAGGATGCAGAAATAACTCTGTTCCTATTGGAATACTACATTTGTGGATTACTCTCATTTATCAGTGTTATTCAGTAAATTAAATGTTTTGTTTTTATAATACTTTATGTAAAGTTATAATTAGTTAGAGTTATGACTCAATGATTCACTTTTGGGAGAAATCCTGAATGTGAATATTTTATATCGATGTGCAGCATTGTCAGTATTAGATTATTTTTGTGTTTATCACGTTGCAGTGTGAGAGACAATCTACTTAATCTTTGCAAGACAAGCCCATTCAGTACAGCTTGTGAGATCATTCTGGAAAAAAGGTAGCAATCACAGAGTTTAGAGGCTAATAAACATAGACTGCAGCTGGATTAAGGTAGAATGAGGGGTCAAAATTCTGAAACTGTGGTTTCTAGGATAAACAACGAAGGCAGCTAATAAAAACAACAGATCTTTCTATTGGCAGGACATTTTAAGGCTCTCGGCCACACTCGGCAACTAAAAGTGGTTTTGCTCAATGTTTTTTTTTTTTTAACGCTACAGAGCCCAGTCATGTCTTATCCTAATGAACTAGTAACTTCATTACATTCACTGTAACAATGTTAAGCTTGCTTTTCCTTGGCCTTCAGTAAGGATAACAAAGGCAAGTGGCTGAATATTACGGTCCTGCTAGACTTTTTGGACAAGATAAGGACATTATTTTAATCTGTCATCAGGTTCAAAGAGTTATAAATTAGAGGGGGCTTTATAGACCCAAATATTTTCTAAAAATGTGGCAGTTAATAACACTTAAAATCACATATGTACTATGAAAGGTTCACACTAGAATCCTAAGCACCTTGTTCTGTTGAAAGTCCTTGAGGAGGAGCCCAGTTTTTTTCCCAGGATGCAAATGGATGCTGCATTCTCATTCAGAGCACCTCTTCTGCCTTTAGTCCTGTTGAGAGCAGCTGGGCTTCCTTTTACTTCATTTGAGCACAACATCTAGGGAGACATTGATGAATGGGGTATTTCGGCCTGGGAGAATACAAATTCGGATTCAGATCTGCACAGATCTCGACGATGGCTGCTGTGCACCTCCAGTCTGTTTTACTGCTTTGAAATGGGAGTTTAGCCATGTTTGGGGTTTTTTTTTTTTTTTTTACATCCTAGAATTTTTTTCGTTTTCAAGCTGTAATGTATCACCGTGATACCCTGCATTGGAATAGGATATGAAGTCTTTTAAGAGTAATCTCATCCCTGGTTGTCTCCTGACTTCCTCAGACTTAGTCTCAGTTCCTCGGCCCTGCAAAGCACTTTGTTCAGACACATGTACAGGTGATCTTATCCCCTCTCCCATTAGGATATTCTGATCCCAAACTTCTGTATCAGTACTAAGCTATACTAGGTGAGGAAACTTATCCTGTAGATTATTATTTTAATATTAATTGTAATTAGATTGGATTTAAGATTGCCTAGAATTGCAAATTTCATAAAACGAAACACAGTGACACACCATCGTGAAACTTACAAAATCAGCTCTGAAAATCTCTCCCTTAATCTTCAGAACGGCAGCGCTTATTAAGAAAAAATTAAAATGCTAATAAATGGAAGAGGGTTTCGGATGAGTTTGGGAAAATATACACGTGTGTGCAGGTTATTTCTGTAATGTGACTGATGTGTCACAAGTTAAGACAGGCCACATTCATAAGACAAGTCTTCGTTTAATTCATGTGCAATAAGTGAATCCAAACTGGTTAATTTACAGGTGAAGATTAAAAGCTGTTGTCAATTGGGAAATCAGTGATTCTGTATATTGGTGTTTAATGTACCCAGAGTGTTAAACTCACACCTTTCCAAGTCTGGTTGAAAAACAAGGTATTGGAGTAACAAAGAAAAAAAGAAAAAATGTTCAACCAAATTTTTGAACACAGTCAAACCTCCATTAGACATTAAATTATTAAAAAAAAGTATTTATGAAATGATTTTTGTACAAGCGTTTAAGAGAAAATGCAACAGAACGGTTATACAGTGCTATATGTTTTAGTTGCAGCACGATCATGCCTGTCATTTCTTTGGTTGTGATCCTGGGAATTTCTGTAGATCAGTGGATGTTAGGTTTAAACTTCTGTTTTATTTTTTTCTTTGATGAAGCTTTCAATAAAAAAAGTTTTAAAAATGAAGTCTTTTTTTTTCATTGACACGGAACCAAAGATGACAATTTTCCATTCATAAAGTTGCAATATTCCACCATATTCTATGATCTCCACAAAATTCTGCAGGAAAGACCATCATCACTAAATGGAGTTTGTGACAGAAGTTCTGGAGGAAGAATAATCTCACACACTACCGCTGGTCTGCGTGTATAAGTAGACCTACCCTCGCCTTTCCCCTCTCACATCCCTCCCACCTCCCCATCTACACCCTTGTAGCAGCTCCCTGGCTCATTCCTCACAATAAAGAGGGGGTTTTGGGCAGCTTATCCTCTCAAATAGACTGCCATTCCCTCCGCAAGGTGAGTTAAGTCACTCCAGATCCTTTATACAGATTTCATATCTCTCTATGACGTTCTATCAGAATCCAGCCCAACTACGGAAAGATTGAAATGTATGTAAAAGACAGTCACATCCGTTTCAGCAAGCAGGTGGGAGTTTTGCATTTTAACCAATTTAAATCAATGTTTAATTTCGGTGCAAAATCAGTACTACGGTATTGCATACTGTAGAACTATTCTGTGACATTCACCTTCACCTTACATTTCCATTCAACAGTTACAGTCATGAGCAGATACGCCACACACAAGGACTTCACTGGTTAACAATATATACTACTAATACAGCTTGAATTAGTTACAATTAAACCACGAGAAAAAAAAAAGAGGAAAAAATCAATTTTACTTGAGTATTCGACTCTTATTTTACTTGATCGATATGCAGCTACGTCACTTTTGTAATATGCCGCACTGCACTTGCTTCAAAGGAGTGTCCCATTTTGTTTCACTATCTTTAAAAACTCACGTCAAGAGTTCTGATGGTTCAGCCATTCTCACTGTTAAGCATTTTATGGCGTCTGTGGAAGAATATCAACAGTGCCATAACAATTTCAAGGCAAGCCAAGAAAAAAAGAAGTGCAAACCAAGGGAGAAATGGTAAGACAACAACCAGCTAGTCATGGCAAGAATAATGGAAATGTGAGGCATTGCATCAGTTTAAAACAAGCACTAGAGCTCCAGTTTTATCTGCTTATTGCACCGATAGTGTCCCTGTGTCCATTCATTATTGAATGGGAGGATGGGTAGTTTTTTCTTAGACCACTGATAAACCAAGCAGTGCAGTTTGGAATCACAAACAGGTGACAGACTTCCTAAAGAGAGCACAAATAAAAACATTTTAAATACAGTAAAAATGTAATGGCACCTTCTCAAGTACTTATGTATTTTAACAAGTGGCAATTATCTTAGATCAAGGATCTTGGTAATATACAGTACAGGTACTTAATAAGAGAAGAGAAGGACCGACTTTTCTTCTAAATTATATTCATTGTAGGTTTCATTTCACACCTCTCTACACCCATCACCTCTTGATTGGCCTCTCGTTCCCTGCTCCCGCCTCTCGCTCCTCCTCTCTCCCAGCCTTTGTTCTCCCGCTACATTACCTTTGCTGACTGTCTTGTCTTTCTCACACCTGAAGAAGGCTTCATGGCCGAAACATAGTGTTTTCTTTCTCCCTTTTTTTCAGCAGGAATAAACCTATTACTTGTTCCTTTACAGCCTACGCATGCTGACGCAACTACCCACCTGAACTATCAATTTTCCCCTTGCTTCCCTATCCATAACCGGTGATTTGGTTTTGAAAAGCCCGTTTAATGTATCATGACATCTTAAGAAACCTGGATGAATTACCCCTTTGTCCCTTTGCCGTGATGAATAGACATTTCCATTCACGTTGCCCTTTTCTCTCCTGCCAATCTGGCCGAGATAAGAGCAGTAGGTGATCCCGAAGGCCCACAGAGGTCACCTGCACAAAGGCTTCCACAGGCAGGCTCACTCTTTTGTGGCATCTTGTGGTCTGGCTGGTGAAATGCATTGAAAAAGGAGCTTTACAATTAAACCTTTTTGCACCGGTTATGGGGAAAGGACTTTTTGAATCCCTGCAGTGAAAAGACAAAATAACCCAGAAGGAAAAGGGAGCTGGGTGACGTATTAAGGGGAAACAAAAAGAAAACAAACCGCCTACATTCTGAGGTGGGAAATAGCACACGAGACAAAGCCAGTGTAATGAATTGCCGACAAGCAGCTAGATGTCCACAGGAAAACTATAAATCTTGTCAAGATGTTGCCCACAGCTAAAACCCTCAGAGTATTTCTCATTTAAAGAGCCCACAAACCGAGATGGATGGGGTTGGTAGGGATAAAAACCCAAATTTGCAACTTGTGCCTCAAAGCTTTCACAACTCTTGATCCAACTGACTCGGTTTTGGGATACAATTACCGTGTGGTGCACCTCGCCATCCAAGCCCATCAGAGTTTCCGGGGGAAAAAAATTCAGATAGGAGCAAAAAAACACTCGTCCTAAACCTGACTTGGGCCCCAAAATCCAGCCCTGAGCTTAAAAATTGTCTAAGGAGTGTGTGAATGCTAACCTTACCTGAGCTGTCCACTGAGCATTTCCGCGATCTATATCTGAGCCTCTCTGGGTATCGGATTTAGACATGTTCCCCAAACCAAAAGTAGGAGTGAGAAAGTTCACTTTGAAACTTTCAGTGACCACATCAGTTTCTTTAATTCGTCCAGTGTGCTTTCCGGCAGAACTGGGTTAATCAGGACCCACATGTGGGCAGTCCTGGTTCTGGGGGGGACCTGTATGTCTGTGCGTCTGCAGCTTTTCATTCCAGTTCAGCTCTTAAGAAGCTCGATCAGCTCATCATGGTCTTAATGGGATCAGTCTGACAGGTTCTTCCAACTCTAATAGGTCCTGGTGCTTTTAAGAGACCTAGAAAACCTGCAGACACACGAACTCTACAGGACCAGGACTTCTCACCTCTGCACTCAGTTCAGCATGCTTCACACTAGACTTTTAATCAGTAGACTGTCTACACAGCCAAAAAACTGTCCACTGTCAAAGTAAACCAAACTGGTAAAATTCTATTCTTGAAAGAACACACCAGAAGAAGGCTTTTTAGTCTTTCTGGCTGAATCTGTTGAAAGAGATTTTGTCTTTCTATTTAAGTAATATGTGATGATTTGAAATAGATCTGTTAACGTTCTTTTTTATGTTTTATTGTGCATTACAGTTGTGCATGAACAACTGACTAACCGAAGAGTCAGAGTTAATAAATCTCACGTTTAAAAATAACGCACACAACATGAAGAGCACATTCACTCAATCACTCTTGTTTACACTCACGAAATCCCATCTCGAAGGCATCGTAGCATTTACCGTCATGAAAACCAATTCACCGAGAGGAATTAGCCCAGCTCCATCGAATACACGGCGTTAAGAAATCTACAGTAGGAAGTAAAAATCACATTACTTTGACATTGTGCGGGATTCCAACAATGCCTTTTCCGTTTTTTTTAAGCAAGTAAATATTAAAAATGCGTAGCTTAGTTTGTAATGTACAGTAGTATCTAACTTTTCAGGTGCTAAACCAACAGACGTCTGAGATACAGTAGGTGAGAAGAGAAACCGCTGTGCGTGGGCTACCCGATGTGGAGAAATCCTTAGAGAAAAGACGGGATGAACCGTGAAAAGACGAGGGGAAAAAAAAACAAAAGCTGCAAATCAAACAATTTCGGAAATCAACACCCCCCTCCCTAAAAGTTCAACGTGTTAATCTGGTCCTTACCTAGGGTTAACAGGCCATCGTGTGCGGTTTTCCCATCCCTGCACCTAGTACTCGGAAACAAACACATCTTGCTTCAAGCAGCGCTCTGTAGCACTGCGTTAAAGACCTAAAAACCCAGGCAGCATATATGTCTAATTTCAGCTCACCGTGTCTTGCTACTTTCCCCATTAAATATAGCTTTTTCTTCTCTACAGTGGATAATTAACAAAAAGCATTTACGGTTATTGGTGTTTCAAATGACCGTGAACAGCCGTTTTGTACGTTGTACATTACCTGCAGGGGTGTACCGCGCAGAACAGTCTGGCGCCCCCTTCAGGCGATTTTGAACAAGAGGCTCTGGAAAA